GGGGTGGGATTGGTGGGGTGAGATTGGAGGGTTGGGATTGGAGGGTTGGGATTTGAGGGTTGGGATTGGAGGGGTGGGATGGGAGGGGTGGGATTGGAGGGTTGGGATTGGAGGGGTGGGATTGGAGGGGTTGGATTGGAAGGTTGGGATTGGAGGTGTGGGATTGGTGGGGTGAGATTGGAGGGATGGGATTGAAGGGGTGGGATTGGAGGGGTTTGATTCTTGCGTTGGTATTAATGGGGTGGGATTGGCAACCCTAAGATTAACAACTGTAGATTGAAGTAGATTATTTTAATTAACTGTTATGATTGCAGGTGTAAATTGTTCCAGTAATTTCATTTCATTTCTTTAACTAGGCTGTGGAGAGTTATGTAAAAAGAAGCGTGATGCAGCTGACTGTCCACACCTTTGCAATCAGTAAGACTGACTTTGTTACTTGTATTATGGAATTCATATGCTGTTTAATCTGTTGACAAGTGTGGGAATTCAAGTATTGAAATAAAAACAATTATGAAGATTATAATGAAATGCTAGCTATCGTCAACTACCTAAAGAATGCATACATGAATATGAATAATATTTTCTATTTTTATCATATTATAGATTGTGTCACCCAGGCCCTTGCCCAAGCTGTCCTGTGATGGTATCCAAGTCATGTGAATGTGGAAAAGAAAGGTACATGTAATGCAGTACGACTTTAAGTGTTTTTGTCACATATCAATGCTTTGTTGCTTGATCCTGGTTGGTTAAAGTTTGATTCCTTTGTTTTGATGTCATAATTGGTTAACTTTCTTCAAGTGGTTCTGGATAGTGTGGCTGTACAGTAATGTTATTTAATAGTAGTTTAGTATTATGAATAGTGGTTCTAAATACTTGATAAATTTTTTTTTCAGTCAACAATCAAGGTGTGGTCAAAAAATTGTTATCAAGTGCAAATCAGTTTGTAGGAAGCCTTTAAATTGTGGCGTACATACATGTGAGAAAATTTGCCATTCAGGTAGGTGTCATTATTCAGTTAAATAGGTTACAATGCACTATATTACGACCATACCACCTGTCATAACATCCGAATGCTGTACTGTGCTGTACATGCTTGTGATGTAAAAAGTATGGTCACTCTAACCAATGGTTCATATATTATTCATGAGTTTCTCAAGTCTTTAAATTTAATACCATGGTGAAAACCCTTGCCAGGATCCTATACTAGTATCTTAGTCCAAGCTCTAGAACATGACAGGCTAGGATATATCCAATATAGTCTGGGTAATGCTATCTAATATGATGCTCTTCATGAAATAATTTTCATATTCATGAAAGTCTTTATTAAATTAACAGGTCCTTGTGATTTATGTGATGTTTCTGAGGAGCAAGGTTAGTTTCTAATCAATACTTTAATTTTGACCATTAATAACTTTAATATTTTTTTAACTATTCATTTTATTAACTTTTCCAACTATTTAGTTTGCTACTGTGGAGCTACCAAAAGGCAGGCCTTATGTGGCTCAGGTAAGAAAGACAGCAATGTAGAATGAAAACAAAGCAATCCATGTTGAGTCAAACTTGATTAAACCAATCGAGAGGAAGCAAGGAAGGCCTCTAGAGATCTGATACTACGCAATAAACAGCTTAGATATATCATCAACAATCACAGAAAAAGTTGAAGAGCTCCCATTTTGTGTAGAGCCTGCACTGTAAAATGTTGATAGTTCATAAATTATGTACACTATGTTATAGAAAATTGTTTTTGATCTTAATTTTAGGTGACATAGATATTGTTGATGGCAAAAATGGTTGCTTCTCATGTGAAAATACCTGCAATAGGTAAACCTAAGTAAAGAAGCTAAGTTTATTTTATAAGTATGCCATAAGGATAAGCAAGTCTTATCGGTATTCATATTGTATGATGTTTCTTAGTCATCCTTCCCTTCCCCACCCCTTCAATCCCACCCCTCCAATCCCACCCCTCCAATCCCACCCCTCCAATCCCACCCCTTTAATCCCTTTCCTCCAATCCCACCCCTCCAATCCCACCCCTCCAATCCCACCCCTCCAATCCCACCCCTCCAATCCCATCCC